GGACCTTATCCCTTTCACTATCCCAGCTCCTTGTTGCGCTAGCAAGCGGTCACAAGAAAGGAAATGAGAACGTTCCAATAAAATGAAAACCTACTTGCAGAGGAGGAAAACTTAGTCATGAAAAAGATGAAAAAATTTTTGTAGCCCTTAATAAGCCAAAATGTGCTAGTGATACGTTAATAGCCGCAGAGGGAATTGAAAAAATGCAGGTTCTAATGGATAAGATTGTAGATAGTAGAGAAGAAGGCAGACTAACTTTAAATATGAAAAAGACGAAATTCATGACCATTGTAAAGACACAATAACAAGAGAGGGCATGCATTAAAGACAAACTCATTCAAAAGCTGGACAGATATGTTTGCTTAGGAACAGTAGTTACCGAAAAGAACGATTATATGCAAGAAAACAAATTAAAATAAGAAAAGCCCGATTAGCATTTAGTAATCCTTTCCAGCAATGATATGAGCCTGCAACTCAATACTGATATATTACGTGTTTTCGGTGTTATTCTATGGAGTGGAGACATAAATGCTAAAAAAAATGATATAAGTAAAAGAAGAGAAGCGTTTAAGATATGGACGTCTCTTCTTCTTCTCATGGCGCCGTCTCCTTTCGAAGGTTGGCGATCCAAATGGCAATTGCAGCTTTGGAAACTGCTGCGCAAAAGATTTCTGCGGATGAGCCATCTAATCATCTCCTCAGGTCTTTTCAGACACGAGTTCTGGCGTCTTCCTACTAATCTTTTGCTCTGTACTTTTCCTTCCAGTATAACTTGAAGTAATTCATATCTTTCGCATCTCAACAGATGATCCAATTATTGCATTTTCCTATCTTTGATTATTCTTAGTAATTCTTTTTGTTTACACATTCGAAGTACCTCAACATTAGTAACTTTGTGTACCCATGAAATTCTCACCATTCGAATGAGGAATGGACATCTAGGAGAATCTTAAAAATAAGTTGGGCGTTTAAGATTACTCACTTTTAACGACGTTTTGAAAAAAAAATAAAAATGGAGAAAGAGGTTCTAAATACAATGAAAATAAGGAAATTGCAGTATTTCAGCCATGTCTAGAGAGGTAGGAGATATGTTTTGCTGCAGGTCACTATACCGGGAAAGATACTGGGTAGCAGAAGCTTGGGAAGACGACATCTATCCTGACTAAATAATTTAAGACAATGCTACAACTGTACCCATCCAGCAAAAAGACAGAAGAGGGAATGTAAAGGTAGTGGGGGCAAAAATATTGTTATTGTTAGGTAAGTGCCATTTTGAGAGGCCACATTAAACAAGGACAGTTATGTTGAGTTATGTTATTGTTTGTCCCAATTGTCACATGAAAGCTTATTTATATTGAAGTTTTTTAACAATTGTGTCACAATTTAGACTATTATCGTTATTTTAATTAAAACTTTCTCATCTAAGACACATTCTGAAAAATATTTTATGGCTGCTGTTTTATGATCTTATAAAAAAACATGAAATATTTTTCTAATTAAAACAGTCATTATATTAAAATTTTCAAATTTTGTACTAATTCCATTAGATAATTAGAACCCCTAAACAACTGTATGATTATTGTGAAGTGTCGTAAAATTTAAATTTGGCGCCTTTGCATTTCCGGATATGTTAGCCCTATTAAGAGGCCACTTTTATGAATTTTGGTCTTCTTTTCATAACGATTAGATTCCCTGTTTTGTCTTTTTGCTCGATGACTGTACCATGGTATATGTGTTCATTGTACCATGGACTGTACCACTCTTGAGCTATTTAGAGCAGCAGTACCTAAGGGGGAAAATAATCGTAATGATAGCTATAGGTAGTGGATTATCTAAACGGCTGTTTAAATGACTCCGTACCTACAAATTTTAATAATTTTGAACGAAGCGATACGTAGATATCTCAAGGTCATATCCGTTTAGAAAATCGACAAACTATAACCTTTTTAAAGACGACACTTAAAGAAGAAATTTTTTGATCTCTCGTGTTTATTATTCAAGTTATTGTAAAGATAGTCTTGCAATTATTTTTAGGAATATTAAATTAAGCAACTTATTAACGAAACTTTTTAAACAAATTAATTTAGCAAGTATTTCTACTAAACTTCTATCATATATATGTATTTTTTACATACATATAATAACACATTTCCAGTAGTTGTGATAAAAATAGAACTATTTTATATTATTAAACTACATGATATACATTGTTATGAATATAAAATGCCAATTTCATACAAAAGGCCTTTTCCTATTTATTCGTAGCAAATAGCTTCCGAGCAACAGACGGCACAAAATACATTTACTGTGTAAGAAACTAGTCTGCGTGGACTCATAAAAACTTTAAAAACAAAAATGCATATCGTTACATGCATCTGAATTGTCAAGAAGGGCACATTTTTGTTACAAACGGCAATAAAATCATATCAGTTGTAACAGAATAGTGGTTGACAAATAAAATTTAGTTTTGAGGCTAAAATTTAGACAAAAACGTATATCAATAATATCGTAAACAGTTATTCTGTAATAAATGTGTTTATTACACAAAACCAAACTGTATGCTTTATTTTTAAGATTCCTCAATTTCTCTAATTACACCTTTATCAATTGTATGCCTTAAAATTCATAGGAGGCACAGATTAAAGCAAAAATCTGGATTTTGGTTTCGTCAATTTAGAAATCTTCGGATATCTAGTTCGTGATTTAATATCAGATGTCGCTATTGCATCCATAGTGAAGCCATTTTATCGATGCTTCCTTTTCGACAGAAAATATTGTTTTCACGTTCAGAGCTTCTGTAAATAGTCGCTCCGAAGATTCCTTTTAGAATGAAATACGTATAAGTGAATGTACAGAGGTATTACACGTGAAATCAAATCTTAATTGTCTTTCTTTTCATTTCGATATACTCTTTATGAAAACGAGAAACCAACTGGCCAAAGATTTTTGCTTAGTTGAGGAAATATGTTGTGGAATGCAATTTTAGATTTCCCATTTTCTCTAATTACAATTACAATTTAAGTACATACTGAAATACGAGGAAGTAAAAGCAAATACTTCTTTCTATTCAATAGACAAAATGCTTGCTCCGGAAGAGCAATACTCTTTTCCCTCTAAACATCCCTCAACCCCACATAAGGCATATTTTCGTTTTTGAAAGCGAAGGTTAGTTTATTTATTTTCGTTCAATTTACAACTAAAACTAATAATAATCTATACCAAGCCGGGCTGTGTTAAATGATGTTTTCATTGGTTTGTTTATTTCCAATAAAAACTTATATTCTTCGCAACAATAACAAGTTTTTTCAAAAGAAATAAATAGTGTTTTGAAATACATGGTGATTCCATTGGACCACACACATATATATATATATATATATATATATATATATAATATATATATATATATATATATATACAAAAATTAAAGGATAAAAATAATTAGTTTCTAAGTTTTATCAGCAAACTTGCTAGACATTCCTAACAAAGATAAACACGAATTTTGCTCCATCGTAAACTCTTGTTTATTCCAGCTTCTTTATGGCATTTAATATACCAGAGTCTGCCGTACACATCCACGGGATTAAATAATTTCCTTCATGCGCGCGCTTGAAAAAACTTTTCCGACAATAAAGACACAGCAACTATCCGAATTTCTTCCCCGCATGTCCTTAATCCTGACTGGAGATCCGTGAAATGTGTAGGTGATTAGACCAAGCTGTGTGCGAAGAAGTTGAAACTACGGAATATGGTCAGGACAGTTGTGGGTCTTTGAGAGTTAGTTCTGTGTATAAAGGTTTATTTTACACAAAAAAATGATTATTATTAAAATAAAACAATTAAAGTATTTATTTCAGTAAAATAATAGCGTAATAGAGCATAACTAGGATCAATATATCAACATGAAAATACTAAAACATCTTCAAACTTCCTTTATCATTAGAATATCAGAATATAACTGTTGTGTCAAATGTGTGTGCGTGTAAAGGAAGAATGTTATACTTTTTAAGATGATATTTAGATAGAGATTTGATTTATGCAGGAGGTAGGGTGTCTTCTTCCCCTTCAATTCGGTACAGACTATCTTGAAGTCCTGCCCCCAGATATCCCTTTCGAGATCGTAAAGCCGGTTATTCCACCTTTCTCTCTTAGATCTTCTTATCTTATCCCTGTATTCATTTTGCATTCGCTTTAATTCATTTATCCTTTCTTCCAAATCTCCAAAAAACAAAATTTTTCTGATTTTTCATATCGTTTACGGAAATGAAGATATAAATAATGGGAAGCTTTCAAATTCTTGCTCCCCATATATTTATACGGTGTCCACACACAGTTATTTGTCGTGTGCACAACATAGCATTAGTAATCACCAGCAGTCGATACAAATTACGAATAGATCCAAATAATGAAAAAACATTACTCCAATTAATGGCCATCAATCAACAACTCATCCGTAATATGGTAATAGACAGATAAAGCAAATATGACTCCATTATTTTAATGGCAGCGTTCGAATTAAACGAAAATAGAAGTCGACTTCGAATTCACACAGAATTTGAATGTTTTTCCAAGCCCTATCAAATCAGAAATCGACGTTTCAAACAGTGTGAAGTTAAAGGTGAACCCTATCTAAATATTTTTGATACGCTAAACTGACTTCAGTGATGTCTGGCTAGGATATAAAAATCTTCCAAGCAATAGTTAATTAATGCTCAGATGAGTTTAATAATTTGTGATTGTTTTCTGTAGAATTTCCTCTTACATTTTGTAAAAATGCACTCAACATTTAAATAATTAATTGCTTCATACAATGGTGTATTTTTATAGCCTTAATATTTTTAACACTTCGTAAAAACTTAAGGTTATCAAAGTTCCTAAGCATTTTAGAACTAACATTATCAAATTTGTGTGAAAAATTCATACTGTCTCTGAAAATTAATTACAAATATACAAAAAAATTTAGTTTTATACAATAATATAACCAATATTCTTTTTTATAGACAATATCCACGATCTGGTTGAGATTCTTATGCAGAAGGACATTGACGACCAACTCGGTCTGCACCAGGTAGAAAGACGTAGACAGCCTCAACTTCGCCTCAGATTTGGAAAACGCGCCGATGACTTTGATGCTTACATGTCTCATGCTGTAAGTACTTTCCATATACCTTGGAAGTTCACTTTAAACAACTTATTGACATTATGACTCTTGTAATAACCAGGTAGGATTTCGAAAAGTAGCTTCATCCAATCAAGTTCTTTTTACTTCATTTAGTGAATTTTTCCTTGCTTAAACATCTTTTTAGTTATATAATCAACGCCCTTTCCCCAACATACATCATTTTTGTTTTAACTTTTTAATTAACTATTTCTGCTTCAGTTTTTCTATATACAGGATGGACCAAAGTCTAGAAATGCCTAATTTTCTCGTAAATAAATGGTACGAATTGTACAGAGGTTTCAAATTTAATGTTTTCAATGTTGCCAGATTTACCATTTTTCTAATATTTCTTCCTCGTCATTTATAATTCTTTATTAATTGTTTTCGTTCAAACACTTCCCTTTTATCGTCTCTGATATTTTGATAAATATTTTTTATTTGTTACAGTGTCTTTAATATATCGATGCACTTGAAAATTAATTTTTATTGATTTCTAATATTATTAAATTATAAATAAATTATAATAAATAGTCTCCAATATTTGCAGGTTTTGTTTTATAAACAACATTCTTTCAATGACCCCACATAAAATAATCCAAAGGATTGAGGTCTGGCAACCGTGCTGGCCATTCAATATGTCCACGTCTTCCAATCCAGCTGTTCGGAAAAATTTCATGTAGGTACCTTCGAACATCTAAAGCATAATGCGGAGGTGCACCATCCTGTTGAAACCATAAACTTTTTTCAAAACCTCCAAGAGTAATTGTACTGGAGAATAAATTAACTAAAGTAGGTACAAGATACCCACTTAAAAACTGAAGGTATGCTGGCCCGTTTAAATAACCTTCGAAATAGTAGGGTTCAATAATTTTATTTCTTACAATGCCAGCCCATACGTTTACCTTTGCGCGTATTGTATATGATGTTTCCGCATGCATTTGGAGTTTTCTTTTGCCCAGCATCTATAATTCTGACGGTTGACCTCGTCATTTAATTTGAATGTAGCCTTATCAGAAAAAATAGTATTTTGAACCAAGAGAGGGTTTCGGTGGCTATTATCCATCATTATTTCGCAAAATTGTATTCTATCTGGATCATCCTCGTTTAATTCCTGTACAACTGAGCATTTTAGTTACTGTACTTACTTTTACGTACTTTGTGTACCGTTGTTTTGCAAACATCGAGATCACTACCAACCTTACAAACAGAAGTGTGCGCATCTTTTTCAAAAGCAAGTAGAACATCTAATGTAACATAATTTACATAGGGACGACCTGATTTGCGTTCATTTTCAACCGTACCAATTTCTCGAAATTTCTTTTCAATCTTACTTACTGTTGACTGCGGATGGGTATTTCTTGATCATCATCCAGCCCCATTTTCACATCCATTGTTGTATATAGGCCTCCTCCAAACGTCTTCAGTTCTCTCTATATCTAGCTGCTACAATCCAGTTTGTTTCTATTCTCCCTAGGTAGTCGGTCCATTGGGTGGGTGGTCTGCCTCGACTTTGCTTGTCGGCTCTTGGTCTCCACTCCAATAATCTCTTCGTCTATCTTCCGTCTTCCATTCTAGCAACATGTTCAACCCACCTCCACTTTTGTTTATTGATTCGCAGTATAATATCATCTACGCCAGTTCATTCAGTTCGTCGGCGTATCTCCTCATTTCTCACGCGATCTTTCAAGGTCAGACCCAGCATTGATCTCTCCATTCGCCTTTGTGTTACGCTCAGTTTTTCGGCAGTAGCTTTCGTTAAAGTTAGGGTCTCTGCTCCGTAGGTCAAGACTGGTAAGATGCATTGGTTAAATGCCTTCCGTTTCAGGTGAATTGGGATATTTGTTTTAAAAATGTCTCTCATCCTTCCATATGCCGCCCATCCCAATGTGATTCATCTATCTAGCTCGCAGGTTTATTTGTCTCTGATTATTCTAATTTCATGACCCAAGTATCTGTATTTATCGATTAATTCTACCTTGTTGTTATTGATCTGTATCTCTTCGCTGGGAACCATATTGGTCATCATTTTGGTTTTCTCGAAATTTATCACCAGCCCAGTTTCTTGTAGTATGTCATTCAGTTCTTGGAGCATGTCGTTGATCTCTCCCAGATTATCTGACAGAAGCACGATATCGTCCGCAAAACGTAGATGGTTTAATCCTTCTCCATCGATGGATATTCGTTTCTGTTGCCATGTTAGTCTTTTAAATGCATACTCAAAAACGGTAATAAACAGCTTTGGTAACATGGTATCACCTTGCCTCACTCCCCTTTTATCTTTATTTTATTAGTTGCAGAATGTAGACTTATGGTTGTTGTGGCATTTTCATATATATTTTTAACTATATTCTTGTAGTTCTCTTAAGATGGACGGTAGTTTCACTGTATCAAACGCCTTTTTACAGTCTACAAATATCAATGCCAAGGCACGGTTATATTCGTTAGTTTTTTATATCAGGGTTTTTAGGCTTTGCAGGTGATCGTTTGTGCCTAAAAATTGGTTGAATATTTCTGGATATTTATCATTAAATAAATAAATTACACACTTCCATCTGAGTTCGCGATTTGTCTCCATACCCAATCGTCATGAGTATTTCAATTCTTTGCTTTGCACTCAAATTCATTCCTACTTCAAATTAATTCGAAGCAATAATACAGAACATTCACGAATTGATACAATTATTGTACTACTTAATTGTTATTGAACGTTACTAAAAATAATTACAGTTTACCAAAAACTAGAAATAGGCTACTTTTTTGCAATTGATAATAAATAATTTATTTTCTAAGCACATATCTTTCAAATTATATCCATTAGACCCGAGGATTATACTTTTTTGAAATCAGCTCATTTTTATCGATCTAAAAATGTCCTCAAATACAGGTGTTACATTTAAAAAAGAGCCGATGACGTCATCACTGTAATGTATATCACCTTGTATAATGAAATTTTATTGTAAAATGTAGAACAGTAAACTTAAAAATCGACGTGTTTTAGATTTTTTGAAAAAGGCTTTTCATTTAGGAAATATCGAATTTATTCCATACTTTACGGACACACTGTATAGTAAAATTTTATCTTTTCCAGAACGGCAACGAAAGACCTCCCTCTCTACGTCTACGATTCGGAAAACGAGGTGATGATACCACAGTAAGTAAACTATTGCATAGTTTTTGTAATATGATTTAACTATAAATTGTTTTATTCTTCCTCTACTTCGTTCTTTTGTAGTGACAAGGATGCTAATTTGCTTTAAAATTTAAATAAATATAAAAAATGGTATAATTTTTTAAAACAGAATTTGTAGCATTTAAAAATAACTATAATAGATAGTGTACTAGTGATAGTACACTGTGTACTAGTTCAATAGTGTACTAGTGATAGTGATAGTGTGGTAAGATGGAATTGTTTGTTATGCATCTTCGTCGGCATCAGTAGCTACCTGATTCAAGTGTCTATTTTTAGTGCTAAAGTCTAAGTCTTCAGTGTCAGATGCTTATGCAATTATTGGCAAGGTTTGTCTCACTGACCTTATTTGTTGAAAAAGGAATCCATTTCTGTTTTTTGTTAAGTTTGTAGGTGCTTTTGAGCAGACTCTACAGTAATTTTAAATCGCCATAATTTTACAATCCAAAATCACTATTATATTGCTCATTTAATTTTTGAAATCTCCCAAAAAAGGTACAATTACCATCGTTCCAGGTGGCGGTACTATTAATTTCTTCAGTTTATTCTTCAGATTACTAAAGAACAAAATGAATTGGTGTTTTTGGCATCAAAAAGTAAATATTTTCTGTGGAATTCGTCATATAAGAAAGTTTACTAAATACTGCCCAAGCTAGACTTCTTCGTGTTATTTCCTCAGTCTGATTTTCTTCAGGTACTTGTTTTATGTTTGTTTATTCTGATTGTTAGATCTTCTTCTTGGTTTGTCATATTTCACATCACCTTTTGAAACTCTGCTTTTTTTACTGGTTATAAGTATGTCCTACAATATCGTCATCATATAGCAATTGCTTTAGCTATGGTCCTTTATTTTCTCACGTTAATTTTCCAGTCTAAACACAGTAGATTTGACTTTAAAGACAAAACATACATACTCAAATGTCTAAAAATTAACAAATAGCTTCTTAATTTTATCAAATGTTGTTTATGTTTGCCCAAAACCTCAATGTAATAATATTGTGTACTTAATTGAAAATCCAAATAATGAAATGTCCCGATATTATGTCCAAATTATTCCCATTTTAGCTTCAATATTTTTCATAACATTAATCCCTTACCCAAACAAAGAGCGATACTTGAAATGTTTATCCATCTTCTTTTAGAATAATACGACCTTTTCTCCATTCAATACACTTTATTTTCGGAAAAAATGGAATATTCTATATTAGATTTGATTTTTAATTAAGTTCTTACAGCTTTTAAATTAGATCTTAGTTCTTAATTCTCTTTTTTTCTTCTTTTAGGGAACAAACGAAAGATCTCCTTCTTTGAGGCTCCGATTTGGCAAGAGATTTGATGACGTCCCAGTGCCGGTAAGTTCGACTAATTTAAGCCATTGCAGTAGTATGAAACGGGGGTATTTGAGAGACATTTTTGTAATTTTAATTGTATAGAATATATAAATTTGGAAAAATTTCCGCGGTTAGCACAAATAAACCTAAGGCTAAGATTATTATTTTCGGGTTGAACCGTGTCGAATTTGAAGACGCCGAGTTCTGCACTTCTTCTCTGAACCTTTCATCAGGACTTCCACAATTTCAGTTCTTCCGAGCCTCTAGATCACTGTACGCAATATATTCATCGAATATTTCGAGTCCTGGCCCTATCCGCATTAATGATCAACCCAACATGTTGGCTACGATATGTTGACGATACATTCGTAATTTGGCCCCACGACAAAGACATAATGGTAAATTTTCAAACCTACTTGAACACTATACATCTTAGTGACTAGATCACGATGAAGATGGAGATGGAAACTGATTGGTCCTTACTGTTCCTCGACATTTCATAAGGAAAATCAATTTCAAGGTTTTCTACTGTTCGTAGGGATGGAAAACCACCCATACTAACTACTAGTTTTATGCCAATTCCTGTTACTTCTGAAAATCAATTTCTCGCTCAATCTCAATCCATAGAATCGGATCTTCATTATATTAAAGGTGTCACTGACAAAATCCTAAGAAGAACCGAAAAAAGGATCTATAAACAATTCATTTCCATTGCCGTTCGCATTTCCGGTTTAATTTCAGCTTTAGGCCAACATCTTTTCATACAGGTCATAAAATTACTTTTGATAATTTCAGTAAGTAGATGTGACAGGTTCGTTCTGGAGCGGAAGTCACATCACGAGTGGGAACGCTCCTATGTCACCATTGGTCAGGCGTTTACTTGCTGGCGTTCCTATGACACCATTGGCCGAGGGGCGTGGCCTAGAGACACGAGGGACGTTCATTCGTCACCAGGGGGCGTGGCGTAGAGTGACAGGTCACTTTCGCTCCAGAAGGAACCTGTCACATCTACTTCAGTACTATAGCTCCAGTATCAATTTCGATAAACCAAGAATCATCTTATATCTCATTCTTCCAGGTTTTTCTTTATGAGAATTTCCATAATAGAAATATGAATCTCGTTGTCTAAATTTTACTGAATAATTCAGATTTTTGACATTGATTCACTTTAATAATTTGCTTGGTATTTTGTCTCGAGTTTGTCTTGATGTTTGACTAATCTTATAACTGCTTTAGTAGGTATGCTCATTCTTCTTTCTTCAATGGTAATGCTAAATCCATCTGAACCTTTCCCAGCATAAATGTAAGCATTATGTAAATACCCAGTTCGTGCATCACTCAGACAAAAGATATATTTACAGGGTTTACTGGAAATATACATTTAAAAGCGACATCTGCCTCTGAAGCCTACCAGCATTTCGTCTACACACACATTTTTCCCAACCGTATATGCATCTTTTGAATTGCTTACAAATAAGTCAAAGAATTCTTGGATAGCAACAGCTGAATTATCCCTTGCTCTTTATTCTCGGTCTGAGGCATCGTCAAACCTTAAGGCGGCCGTCAGGGTCAGGAAACGTTTCTGCGACATAACTGCTCTAAATATAGACCGTCCTTTCCCGTTCGTAGCAAACAGATTTCGTATATTCTTATGACTTGACTTATAAATAGAAGTATAAAGAAGCAGTCCCAAGAAAGCTCTTAATTCTATTTCATCAGTATTAGACAACTCAGATTTGTCTTTTTTATATTGTTGATATTTTGGCGACAATATTGTGAGCAGGCTTACGGACGTTTCTAGTTGTCTCCTTTTTACTCCACTTATACCTATTCTTTCCATAGTAATAATTGCTGGAATTGACACACTCTTCTTAATCTTCGCTAGATATCATTTCTGAGTCTTGTTGCTGTTCAGTTTCACTTAGTTCTTGTTCACTGTTCGTAAAATAATCACTTTCTATATAATATCCTTCTTCCACATCATCATCACTCATGTCACTGTTCGCTTCATTATACCATTTTGTGCACACTTCTTCAAAATCATCGTCTGATACTCTTACAGCTTTACGAGAACTATCCATATTAAAATAACACTAATGGTGACTTTGCGTCTAGTAGACTCCGAGGCGTAAATATTTCGAAAACGGGACGAGCGTGGTACCTCTCATTAACACGTTCGAATATACTCTAAAACCTAGGAAGGTACACCAAATTACAGGTTGCTACTTATTTGTGGCGACAAACGCAGACGCGTTATAGTGTATTTTTATGTATGAGAGAGTAATAAAACAATAAATTACGTATGCAAATCCCTAAACTGTTGATACGGGTGACTCAATGAAAAACAGATATTTGTCAACAAGTTTACAGAAGTATATAGGAAAACAATTTTAAATTGAGTATGACCACCAGGTATAAAGGTTGGAGCAGAATAGAATACAATAGTTGTGAGGGTTACTAATCCCTAAATAAGGTTGCCAGTGTCGGAGTAATGGAGGTTAACAGGTACTAATGAATTTGCAAGAAATGTCAAATGTTTATTTTATTGGTTATATATAACCAATAAAAGTTTAATAAGTACCTACCTATTTGCAAAATAAAGTTTAATTCTTTAGATAAAATAAAATGTTTTATTTTATCTGAAATGAGTGCATTCCACGAAGTAAGGGTTTCAATAATCAAACATTTAATTCTTTAATTCCAGGAATCTACGACAGTAATTGACTAGATAATTACCTTCTAAACTTATTCCACAGAAAGTGTGATAGTGGGTTTTTCCATTTTGTAGGAAGGTCCAAGTGGCGTATTCAAAATTCTTAACAGTTCGCTGAAAGTAGGTACTTCAGTTATAAGGTGCAGTTTATTGTGTATAGTAGTGTTATGGAAAATTTGGAAGTGCCGTGTAAACGCCGAAAAATTGGTCCTTTAACAGTTAATGAAAAAACATTAATATTTAATTGTTTTAAATCATTTACAGACAAACGTTTATGTGAAAGTGTTGATGAGACCGTTGAGTTAGTTAGCAGTACACTTGGTGTTGGGAAATCTACGATTTACAGAGTTATTAAAGAAGTGAAATGTGGTAGTTTTCAAATGCCACGTAATGCTCCAGGGAAACCAAAATTTCAAATAGAATATCATTTTAAAGAAGGACTTCGACGGAAAGTGCATGAATTCTTCTTTAGACAAGAATTTCCAACATTGGAGAAAGTTCTAGCCTCAGTTCGAGATGATAAGGATTACCCAGAAATGAGTCGAAGTACGTTATGGAAACTTTTAAAAGAAATAGGCTTCCGCTGGAAAAAGAATCCCAGAAAGTCTATTTTATTAGAAAGAAGCGATATTGTTATATGGAGAAGACATTTTCTAAGAACCATAAAGGAAATGAGAAACCAAAAAAGAAAAATATTTTATCTTGATGAAACATGGATCAACGAGGGTCATACACCAAATAAATTTTGGCAGGATGAAACTGTTACAAGTCAAAGGCACGCTTTTGTAAATAACTTATCTACTGGTTTAAACCCACCATCAGGAAAGGGACACAGGCTGATAATAGTACACACTGGCAGTTCAGACGGTTTTGTTGAAGGTGGTTTACTAACTTTTGAATCAACTCGTACCGGTGACTACCATGAAGACATGAACGCTGATGTCTTTCAAGAATGGTTCGAACAAATGATAGATCTTCTTCCTAAGAACTGTGTAATAGTAATGGATAATGCAAGTTATCACTCCAGACTTATAGAAGGACTGCCCACAACCAAGTGGTTAAAAAAAGACTTGCAGAATTGGCTGAGTTCAAAAAATATTACGTACCATCCCGGATCTATAAGAAAGTAATTTTATTCGTTGTGTGCCCTTCATAAAGAAAAATTTAAAAAATACGAAATTGATGAAATTGCCAAAAATCGTGGAATGGCAGTACTTAGATCCCCACCATATCATTGTGAATTAAACCCGATTGAACTGGTATGGGCACAGATAAAGAGTGAAGTTTCAAGAAAAAATACCACTTTTAAAATTCATGATGTTAAACAGTTGTTTTTGGAGGCCGTAAATAATGTAAAACCTGAAAACTGGGAAAAGGCAGTAAATCACACTATTAAAGAAGAGGAAAAAATGTGGAAGCTGGACAATATTACTGATAAAATGATCGAGCCAGTTATTATAAATCTTGGTTCTGAAAGTTCATCTTCTGAATCTGATTTGGATTTGTAACAAGTAGCTGTAAGTTTTATATTAATATTTTTATTCATCTATTTAACATACCTTAGACGGTTTTAAAAACTCTTTTTCTCTTTTGTAATTTTTAAAAATTAAAAAAAAATGTGAATTTTTTAAAACCCTTTTTAATGTAGGCCAGTCAGTTCTAATATAGTGTGTGATAAAATAGGTCACTTTTGTTTACATACACATAACACTTTATAACACTGAAATAATTCATTTATTTTTTACAATTATTCAAAGTAATTTTTCAATTAATCTTGAGCACGCCCATGGAGTGGTCGGAGAGACCAGTTAAAATTATGCTAATTAGGTACTCTCTCGTTCATAAAAATAAACTATAATAAACGTGCGGAGTCTGTGGGACGGATGGTCACCAGTTTATTTCAATATGTGTATAATTCAATACCAAAACGAGCCCCAATCATAAGGTACTATTAGGTGTTGCTGATGATTTTTATCTTTCGCCACGTTTTGCACGAATAATTATTGACCCCCCGCCAAAATTGCATTCTAAAATTCAATATAATTAGTCAGTTAAATAATAATAATATTTCGGAAGATCCGCCTATGACATAAGCCGATTTTCCAATTCCCTAGGGCCAAAAATCCATCTAAAAATCCAACATGAGACGTTTTTAGAAATATTATTCTATACTTCCTTCGCCTAGCATTACATATCTGAAGATTATTGAAATTGATATTATTTTTTGACATCGAAACCCAAGCAGAGAAAAATTACATGAAAATGACTGCAAGCTTTTCTTCGATGTATCCATTACGCTATTGTGGATACAGTTTCAGCACTATGAGTGTATAATAAAGGTTAAGTGGAGGTAGATTGACAGAATACTTAAAGTAAGTGATGAAGTTATTTATGTTTTCGTGCGAGATTGACAAAAAAGGAATGTTTTCCTTTTTGAAACTCAGAAGTGCAATAAGTGGGTATCGAAAACAAGTACGTGCAGAATATAGTTACCAAAACAATAAATCAAAAACTATGATTCAGTACAGCATGATTTAAAATGAAAAGAATAAAAACTGACAGAGCTTTATTGTAAAAACTTGGGAATGAGAACTATGATTCAGTCTCTGGCTCCATCGTTAACTGGATACTATAGACAATAAATAAGTTATTTCTTTTTTATGGCCGACTTTATCTCCAGGCCGGAACATTAGATGGGGAAATGCTGTCAGCCTGTCAAATATAGGCATACTTTCACGTATAATAGAGGGTGTTCAGCAGGAAGAATATAATTTTTAAGAATTATATTTGACTAAATTAGTGAAAAATATAGTTTGAGTTCTTTCGAAAACCAAGACATGCTTTAGTACAGTGATTCTCAACCTGTGGTCCGCGAACAGTTTTTATGTGATCCGCGAAGTGAACAGTCATGAAACAATAATCAATTTAAATATTGGCTCTTGAGACGTAAATTAATGCGTCGGCCTATTTTTTTTAACTCAAAACGTTTCCAGACGACCAAACACGCCTGAACACAGCTAAATTCACCTCAATCTTCCGCGTATTTTCCCTCACTTTTCAGGACACTGCGTCTTTGATCGCGCCATTCACGTAACTACTCAGTGACTCAGTGCTGACTCAACTGTTAAGTGACGAGCCTGCGTGTTTTTTGCTTGTAGTTTGATTGTAGTTTACTAAAATGAGCAAATAGATGAAACTTTCGGGTTTTTTTAAGAAGACGGATAATGAGAACGTTAAAGCAGGATGTTCTACCAGCCAGTAATAGCACAATATTAACTCAAACTAGTCCTAAAAGAAAGGCTACTAACTGTAAGTACAACCCCGACTACACAGCATGTGGATTTACATTCATTGAAACATTTGGTGTCCAGTTACCTCAATGTGTAATTTGTGCGGAGGTAATAAGTAAGGAGGCAATGAAGCCAGCAAAATTAACTAGACACTGAAACAAAGCATAAAACTTTTTCTGGAAAACACGTAGATTTCTTTAAGAGGAAGGAGACGAAACTAAAATCGTCAAAAATATCCTTAACTCAACTTATGATAAAGCTACTTTGAAGGCGTCATATTAACTTTCACTTAGAATCGCAAAAACCAAAAAACTCTTTACTGTTGGTGAGGAATTAGTTTTACCATCTATCGTAGATGCAACTAAAGCAATTTTAGGTGATAAATACGCTAAACAAATGCAAAATATTCCTCTTTCCAATGACACCGTTAGTAGGAGAATTGAAGATATGGCATCAGATGTTGAAACCCAACTTCTAAAGAAAATTCATTCCTCAAAGATTTTTGCTGTACAACTTGATGAATCTACAGATATTACCAATAAAGCTATTCTTCTTGTTTATATACGATTCATAGATAAAGACAACAAAAAATTAACCTGACCTCGATTGAGTCGCAAGGTAACATAACCAAAAAAGACATTTTTAAAGCTATTGATGGATATTTCACATTTAAAAATCTTTCTTGGAAAGACTGTGTAGAACTTTGCTCTGATGGTGCCGCAGCAATGACAGGTCACAAAACAGGCTGGCCAAGTTTGGTAAGAAAAGAAGAAAATCTTGATATTGTCACGATATACACTGTATTATTCATCGCGGAATGCTTGCTGCCAAAAGATTAAGTCCCGACCTAAACAAGGTTTTGACTACTGTGGTAAAGGCCGTGAACTTTATAGAAAGCAATGATCTAAGTTCGAGATTATTTGCTTTGTTATGCGAGGACATGGGATCCCTCCATTCCAGTCTCCTTCTACATACCGAAGCTCGGTGCCTATCCAAGGGCTGGGTTTTAGCCAGATTTTATGAACTTCGAGAAAAAGTATGCATGTATCTTGATGATAAAAAACCTGATTTAGCGGAAACACAATTAGCTTTTTTGGCAGATATTTTTGAACAGCTCAACATATTGAATCTTGGCCTCCAGGGACCATCTAAAACCGCATTTGACCTTTGGAAAAAAAATTGATTCATTTAAGAAAAAATTGTTGCTATAGGAGTCCGAAGCTGGAAAAGGATCCTTTGAAATGTTCAACTTGTTTTCAGATTTTATCTCTGAAAATGAAGGCTTAAATGAGGATGTTTTACATTCACTGGTTAAGTCCTTCATTAAATTGCTTAAAGATTACTTTGAGAAGTACTTCCCTGCTGATACAGATGTGAGGAAAAATAATCTGTGGGCGATTGATCACTTTTTAGCTACCCACGATAATAATCTGTCTATTTAGGAAAATAAACAGCTTATTGAAATTTTATCCGATGATTATTTTTAAAAGTGATAAAATCTCACTGCGAAAATGTTGTAGATTTTTGGATAGGATTACTTGACGAAAGTCCACTGCTCTATGAAAAAGCTTTGAAACTTCTTCTTCCTTTTCATTCCACTTATCTCTGTGAGGCATCATTCTCAACATTATATGCCATCAAGAATAAACACAGAAATAGGTTGCTAAATTTGAATGCTCCTATGAGAGTGGCGTTAACTTCTTTCGAGCCAATTATTGAGAAACTTGAGTGAGAAGCAAGACCAAGGGAGTCATTAACGTCTTAATTTGGCTTTCATTAGTAAAACTTCAGTGTTCATCTTATTTTAACTATTATTGGGAAATAATAATAATAATATCTAAGTGATCCTCCAAGAATTCTAAAAGGTACAAGTGGTCCTCAGTGGTGAAAAGGTTGAGAACCACTGCTTTAGTACACAAAATTTTCACAGTGTATAATTCTATTTATTATAGACAAATTTGATATGTCACTTGTTCTGAGCAGGAAATTACGCTTTAGGCAGTCAATTTTTGACATTTTTTAGAGCCTATATACACTTTTGCCACATTTCTTTGTTCTAAACTTTCTGTGCACCAAGGTATACAGAAAGTATTTTTATAATGTTAAGATTATTAATACTAATATCATTTATTTTATGTTTTAGGTCTCTGGATACATACCTACTGAAGGCGAGAATTAAGTTTATCCTCAAATATTTGTCATGAACTATGGAAATAACGTGAAATTTACTTTTCACCAATTTCTTTTCTATAAATCGTTACTAAATCCTTGTTGAATACATTATATTTTTATTGTGCAAGACAAATTCTGTCATTAAACTGATAATAATCAAAAAGTCTTTAATCTCAATCATATGTAAAAGTAGTCAATTTGTGTACTATATAGAGAAAATGTTAGAATAAAAAAAGACAATTTTCAATGTGAATTTTATTTTAAACGAATTATTGATATTTTTCAAGATTAAAACGTGGAATATATTTGGCAATAATAAACACAAAAATTTTCAGATGTATCGGGAACCTAAATATATTAGACATATAAGCTACTAGATTCGATAAGCGATATATCAAAGAAGACTAAGCCAAAAGCTAAAGATCTCAAATATAAGACCAAAAAAGAAATATATGAATGCATAAAAACTTGCATGAAACGGAGCTACCCTGAAACCTTTTGGATTGGAGAAGACGACAACAGCCGACTAAGCTACTAAATTAAGTAGACGTATTGAAGTGTACATATTGTAGCGAAAAACACCCCGTTGCTCAAGTCAGGAGGCTTTATTGGGGTTGGGTAAGGATACAGATGATAAAAAATGCAGATCAAAAACAGATAGATATTATTTACATAACAAAACATTTTTTTTGACAAAGAAAAACACTAAATACAGCTAAACAGTAAAACAAAATGGTGCCAATAAGTTTTAACTTGAAACTCATAAAGGAACTCAAAAATAAATAAAATAAACAAACATTTCTCCCAAAAACATCAGAAAAACAGACGTCAGAAAAAATATCAGCAAATTGTCGACAAATAATATAAAAATTGACATATCTAACCATAAACTGAAAAAAAAAGGTTATATATTCAATAGAATACTATGGAAGAATTATTATATTATCCTCTACAACAAAATTCAAATAATGTATACCATCTCTACTCAAAAGTACGTCACAAAAAAAATGTTTATTAAACTTTAACAAACAAACATGAGTTAAAAAAAAATTAACAATAAACATTGTGGTGAAATTCCATTCCACTTGATATAAATTTTCCCATGCCGATATTGCTAAACCTTCTTAGTAGAAATAAAGGAAGATAATATATCTTTTAGGGGTAGGAGCCTTGCGCTACCTGCCTATATAATTTGTATATTATCAACCAGTTCAAAACAAGCTATTGCCACAGTCAGTCGCAAAAACTCGTAAGCTAACATCGATAGCACGCAAATTCGCGTATTAATATATTATATGTATTTGTAACTAAGTAGTTACACTTGTGGTAATAGCTTGTTCTGAACTGGTTGATAATATCCAAATTATATAGGCAGGTAGCGCAGGGCTCCTACCCCTAAAAGTACCGTTAGATACCTTCCTTTATTTCTTCTAAGAAGGCTTAGCAATATCGGCATGGGAAAATTTATATCAAGTGGAATGGAATTTCACCATTCTGGGGGGCGGTGGCGAACAAATAGGCTAACAACTAAACCTAAGTTATATAGAAGAACAGTTTATTGTCTAACAACTAACTTTATCGCCTATAGGTAAAACGTTAACTTTGGTGATAGGACGCGTATATTCTCCATCAGCAGTTTTTAATCGTACAACTCTTACTTTAGCGTCTTTGCCGGGTATAGTGGCAGTCACTCGTCCAAGAGGCCAGCGCAATGGGATTGTGTCCTCACTCTTCAAGTCATTGACTTGAATATTAGGCAATGGACGTAGCCATTTGGGACGATTTTGCAAATTATTTAGATAACCAACTGACCAACGCTTTCAAAAGGATTGTTGTATTTGCTAACATTGTTGCCAAGCAGTTAGTCGATTAGTATCTGTACAAGTTAAATCGAAATCAGGATATGCAATCAAAGAACTGCCTAATAAACAACGTCCTGGGGCTAGCGGCTGCAGATCATTAGGATCATTTGACAGCGGATATAGTGGGCGAGAGTTCAACACAGCTTCTATCTGAGTTAGAATGGTATACATCTCTTCGAATGTGAACCGTGAGTTTCCAACCAAGCGAACTAAATGATATTTAGCACTCTTATTAATAGCAGATTCCCACAATCCACCCCAGTGGGGAGAGCGGGGAGGAATAAACTTCCAACGTATTTCATTGGCGCTAATAATTAGCTTCGTGACTTATATGACATTTTTAAGTCTCAATCAAATTTCGATAAAATACGCTCCTATTTAGCCCAAAACGGAAAAGAGTACGGGCTAACAATGAATGTCAAGAAGACGAAATTTATGAGAATATCGAAAACTCAAAGAAATAAAGGAATGTAACTTTTATTAACACTAACTAAAAACATATCGGTACAGGGAAAATTACTACAGCAACAAGTCAACAACACTGGTTACTAGTTCTCTTTTGTAAAATGCAACATGGCTCCTTTGATTCATTTTAGTAAACATAGATGTAGTTGTTTCCCTCTTGCAAAACACATGACTGACTTATGCAGTTGAATCCTGATTGCAAGTCTCAAAAGGAAAGTTACGTAAATGGTAGTTGATTCAAACTGTTATAACACAAAATATTGATGCTGAAGCCATTGATTCTTTTTGCTAAACAAAGTTTGAACCTTCCTTATGCCATATAAGCAATAATATCAATTTTTATATTTTGGTAGGTGGTTCCTTCTTGCATAACTACGTCCAATTGGATGTAGTTATGCATAAAAGAACCAACCCAAAATATATGAAAATGAGCTATGACAGGTTTTATGTATTTAAATTGCAAAAAATGTAGTAGGGCAGTTTGAATTATTTAAGCGTTCTTTTATGGATAAAACTAATTTATTGGTGTAAATCTAAGATAATTTAATGACCATATTATAAAAAATGTTATTTTGTTTTTGTTATGTGGCTTGGTTCTTTTTTGCATAATGTGAATACCTGGATTATAAAATTTGCGTCATAACCATCAAGATAATCTTCAATATTACTATCACTTGTCAGAGTAGTATAGTGGTGCTTAACGTCTTCAGGAATAAGATGTAGTAAAGATGAGATGTCTTCAAGCTTTTTGGGCGATATTGGTTTGCCTGTAGGCCACAGTTGAGTTAGCGATGGTGAAAAGATATTCCTTGTGTTATCTAAAGAAGGTCTGGCTTTTGATTTGGATGGATGGATTTTTTGAAATGTCTACTTGAACATAGTCTTCCCTGTGTGTTATTGACATAAATAATTCAAATGGTTTTCTTTATAAATTTTTATTTCTCTCAAATGAAGCCAATTAATTTTTTCTCCAGACGTATCTACTTTGCGGTTGGTGATAAGCTTTTCTGTATCTTTGGTCCCAAAAAAATGTTCCGTTTTCATTTTCGTAACCTGTAAGGGATTTTTTTTATGACAGCTTTTTATGATATTTATGTAATCGTCTTCACTGTAGATTCTTTGCTGTAACTTTAATGCCTTTTCTATATCTGAAAAATCGCTGTCATTTTTTAAAAAACTATGCCCGGAAACCAAAAACCTTAATGAAATATCTTCTAATGTCAAATGATTTTCCAATGCAGCCTTTAACATTAGTACAACATTTATATTTCGGTTTTGGCCACCACAAGAATCTGACCAAAGTATGAGATGTTTTGTGGATTCAGGAACATGTCGCGCAATGTGCTTGAGCAAATAAGACTCTACCTCCTAAGCTCCTCTACCAGCTTTGCCTTCTAACCATGTATAACAATATCCTTTATTGAATTTGCATGAATGGATACCAGTATTATAAAACCATATCTGTCTCTTATAGAAAACTATATTCGTGGGAATTTTGGGCAAGGGTAATGTTTTTTCCATGTCAAACGTAAGGACTTCTAAACTGTCATCGATTTTTGCCTGTTGCATGTCTTTGTTCATTCTGTTTCTTGCTTCTTCCTGATTAGTTAAATGTATTTTATGCTCTTGCAAAAACTTTTCTTTATCATCGTTACTCTTACCACATTTTACAGCAGCATTTAGTTTGTCACATAGATTACAGGTGTCCTTTTTTAACGGCTTACGCCGTAGATTAAAATTTGAATAAAAAATTTTTTTATACTTTTGATAGCTGACTGGATTTTCCACTTCTTCTGAATACAAAGAATGCATTTTCTCAATAGTTATGTGGCCCTCTAAATACTCAGCATCTTGCATTTCTTCCCGTCTGTAATGGGACTTATATTTTGGAAGTCTTTTTATGTGGACAATAACTTCGTTGAAACGTGTACTGCTAAGTTTATTATAACCACCATACGCTCCTCTCTTATCAACTATACTGTCCGACTTAATCTTCACGAGAGCGGTATTAACACGTTTTGTTGATATTTGGAGCGTTTTAACAAACATGTCCCGGCAAACTTTAATACTACTTATTTTATATACTCGAGTAAATTGTTTCGCCCGATCACCAGAACTAACCCCATAATGACGTTTGACTGGTTCCTCGCTGATTAGTGTACCTAAATAAGTTGTTTGGGAATCATATGATTATAATTCCCAGTATTTCTTAAACAGTTTTTCTCGTTCTTCCACAGAAACCATCTCACTGCATCTATTCTTACACTTGCACATGTAGTTTTCAAATTCTTTGGAATTAACATGGATATCTCTATAATTTACGTAAGGTTTGTTGGTGTTCTTGAACTTTTTCCTGCTCTCACGTGTTTGATTGTTATATTTGCGTTTTCGACCCTTTGGCCGTCTGCCTGTAGAAATACTTTGATTGCTAACTACATCTTCTCCAACGGGGCATTTTCATCTTCTGTATCTGATGAAGAGGGTACATAATTCGCATCAGGAATGCTATCATCGGTGTCTTCTGAAAAATCACCCGAATCTTGTAACAGAATATCACCGTCACTGGTAGGTTCCTAAAAAGTATTGAGGTTAGGTTTCAAATTTTTACTTAATCTAAACAAATTTATTTTTGCACGCTTTTAATACTTATTACATACCTCATCTTTGTTTTCTTTTTGTGTTAGCTGCACCATATATCGTCCTCTGGACACAGACATAATGATATCACTCGTTAACACTTAAAATGTAACTGAAAGATAACGGTTTATGTAAACACAACCGGAACCAACAATAGAATAACTAGGTATGAAATTTGCATAAAGGAACCAACCCGTTTGGTTCCTTTATGCAGAATTCTGTAACCGCGTTTTACTGTATGCATAAGGGTACTATCCCACAGATGGCGTGACTATGCACATTAATAGGTTGGTTCTATTTTGCATTTTATAGAACATTAATTTTTATAATCGAAAACTTCATTATCTCAAAACTGCCAAAATGTGGGTTGGTTCCTTTATGCAGAACTACATCCAATTATGACTCCACCACAAATAAAAATTATGCAAAATTCTGAACCCAATAAATGGAAATACAAACATTGATTTCCAAATAGATTATCAAATTATTAAAGAAAAGGAATAAAATGATAAATGTTTAATGGTAAAAACTTTATTTATAAATACATGTATAAAATAAATAAATATTATTTAAAAATATCCATTTAAAAATCAACTAAAATTTAATAACAGACCTACGGAAAATAACAGCCATACAGTACGTAATAACTAACAATATTTTAACGATTTTATAATAAAAATTAATTCTTTTAAATGTACGTAAGCATCATATTACTAAAATACATAAAGAATTTATTTTTAATCTCAGAACTACCATAAAATGAGATCACTAACTTATCATCATAAGAGGAACTTATTAACGAATGCAAGTGATTATTACTAAGGGGATAACTGTTTAATTTGGAACTTTTGATATTTTGATTTATTATCTTGGAAGACGTCATTGAGAAGGGACTGCCTGAGAGAAATATCAAGCTTTTCTGTTTGGACCGAACGGTTTATTATATGTGATATTTACACAATCATCCCGACTAAAAAATAGACCAAAAATTAACTATATTAAAGCAGAATAATATGCCAAAAAGCACTTTTATTTGGAGCCACTATGACACATATATCTCTAATTTCCTAGTAAATTTACTAGTGAAAAATATGTATGCGCAGGCAATTTCTTTGCATCTCTTTGTGTATCATTCAGTGTACACGGATATACAGGACCTAAAATTTGAGGATTCAAAAGACCAAGTCTAGACAAATTACGACTTCATGGTGTTTCAAAGCCTTCAAAGTGTTTTTCTTGAGAAATAGTTTTACTATGAAATTGCACAGTAATGGCCACAAATACCCATAGAGTATCATATTAAAAACCTTGTCGAATTCCAGAAAGAAATATATTTAAAATATTTAAATTATTATATATATTAAGGACGGTGATTACACATATTTAATAAAAAATGTCATTGGACATCTCATTATTCGAAGTCATTGCATTCTTAATATAAAAGTACGATAAAAACAATATAAAATTCTCCTAAAAAAGATACAGCTATTGATAACTTCTAGACGTACTGGCCTCCTGGCAAGTCCTACTTCTCCTATGGCAATCCAATTTATCTTTCCTGCTAAATTTCTTATCACAATGTTCGCACGCGAAAGGCTTCTCTCCCGTGTGCAGCTTTTGATGTCTGAGCAGGTTTGAGGTGTTGCCGAAACACTTGTTGCAGTAGCGACACGGAAACGGCTTCTCTTTGGTGTGCTTTCTCAGATGCTTCTTGAAGTCTCCCTTGTGCGTGAACGTCTTCTTGCAGTATTCGCAGGTTAGGATCCGTCTGGGAGTGTGAGAGTGACTAGATGTGGACGGTTCCGGTTCGGATTTTACTCCAAAGCTTTTTTGTTCAATACCTAGAAAATAATAAGTATCCATGAGGCAGATGAAGAAGCACTAAGAAGAAAAACACACAAAAAGCAAGATCAAATGATGAATATAGAATGGAATAGAAAATAACACAAATGAATGCTTTGTTATATTTTTAGATCAAGTTCAGCTATTCATTCAACCCTTGAAGGTGTAGCTGTAAAAAAATCTTTTGGATCTCCTAGGTTTGCCCTCAATTCACATTTTTTCACTAAATGTTGGATAGTTTGATCTGGATTCTGGAGCACCACAGTCACAGCTGAAAGTAGGCCAAGTTTGGATACTTTGGGTGGAGCTGTTTCTGTCCACAGCGTGCCCCATCTGGAGGTAACATTGAAATTATCATCTGTTAACTGCTGGGCTGTTACTATGTGATTTTCTGGATTTAAGTCGGTTTGCTGCTAAACTCGGGATGTCTTCATTGATTGGAAATTGTAAGTTACTATTTATTTTCAAATAGTCTTTAATAAAGACATTTTATCTTCGTAGAATAGGCGGAGGTATATGGCTGAAGATGGGAAAATAATATAGGGGAGTAGTCTTGATGCAGCCGCTAATCATTTTCATTGCTATATTGAGCTGTGTATCTACTAACGCAGAAACTAATTCAGAGATTCTGAATAAGGTTATTTCTAGTACTTATTTTTTGTGCAGTTATTTGTAGATGTTTTTTAAATGACAGTGTCCTGTCTAAGGCAACCCCTAGATATTTTGAGTAAGGTTGATAGGGTAGTGCTAAAAATTATTCGTTTTAACCTCTAATTCTTGGTTTGCTTTTGGTTATTGAGATGAACACAGCTTACCTCAAGTTTATTTAAGTTGGGTATCAGACGCCATTTTGTAAAATAATCATATAATTTGGTGAGGTCGTTTGTCAACACGTTTTGAGTAATTTCAAACTGTTTGTGTTGTACTGCTATAGCTAGGTCTGTAATATAAGTAAGTCTAATATATAAGTTGAACAGCATAGTACATTATATCCAAGGTCAAATGGACTTGCCGAACATGCTGTAGGAATCTGTAAAGGCATATTTAAAAAATGTAATGACCTGGTAATGATGGGCAGCTAGCACTCTTAGAATATAGGACCTCACCGTTATCAGGACTAAATATTTCTCCTTATTAGAATTGTTAAATAATAGACTGTTAAGAACAACATTAACAGTATGCAGTAAAATTTTAGAAGACAAGCCTACAGTGGAAAAAAAAGGGTAGAGAGGAAGCATTATTATGATAGACAGGCGAAGGAAAGAGATGGGTTTTATAACAGACAAAGTGTAATGCTTAAGAAAGACAGGGTCTGGGTGCCTGCAGAAATTATAGATAAACATAAGAGTCCCATATTGTAAAGGATTTCGAAAATAATGAATATAGAAGAAACTCATCATTTATAAAATCTTTTCCACATCCTTTTAATACTCATCCTAAATTTTATCCTAGTTTAGAATTGGCTGCTAGAGAATCTTATAAAAATATATCTAATACATCATCAGACAAACTTGATAATTCCCATAATGATATTAACAGTTCAAGTGGTAGTAGTGAAAATGAGATTCAACCTCAAACTAGATCAGGTAGGAGAATAATCAAGCCTTCTCGATTTAGGGAGTAAAAGGGAGATGTAGCTTAGGTGGGTTGGCAGCACTAGGTGTGAAGGCAGGGAGGTCAGACACCAGCTGTCAACAGGTTGACAAGGTTAGGATATAGAACATAGGCTATAAGATGAACACGTTGTGAATAGGCATAATAAAATAAATGCGTGTGTCATTACATAACCATAATAAACATAATACAAATTTAAAATGTCAGCCAGTTCGAGTATTTGGGTGTAACAATAACGAATAAAGGAAAAGAAGAAAAAGAAATAGAATAGACACTATTAAAAGGAAGTAGGGCATTGGGCTCATTAAATAATATTCTAGAAGCAAAAAATGTGTGTAGGGCAGCAAAAATTCGAGTATATGAAACAGTCATTCGGCCAGTGGCAGTGTATGCCTGTGAGACCTGGACTATGAATAAGAAAGATAAAATGAAAATCTAGATCTGGAAAATTAAGGTGTTGCGAAAGATTTTTGGTGGTATTAGGAGGGCGGGGGAAACTGGAGAAGAAGAATAAATAAAGAGGTAATGGAGATGTATGGAAAACCCCTAATTGAACAAAAAGTCAAAGCACAGCGAGTCAGGTCGTTAGGTCACATCACTCGAATGCCAGAGAACGTTATGTAAAAAAGTGCTTTTTCGAGGAAACGGGGATAAAATGAAGAGAAGAAGACCACGGTTAGAAGCAGTTAAAGGTGATTTAAAATGGTATAGGGGTACAGAATTGGAGAAAGAGAGCAAACGACCGGAAGAAGTGGAAACAATTTATTTTTTATGGTCAGAATTAAGAAGGAAAAGTATAACGAAGGGGTGTAAATTGTAATACTTCCTTTGATCCGTTCTATGGTGTTCTGTGGCCGTAAAGTGAAGAAGAATGACATGAAATATACATTTTATGTATAGATATATAGGTTAGGTTAAGTCCTCAGAAATGCTTTATGAATTTGCTCTATTGAAGAATATATTGGGTTGTCATATGCTACCACCTTTAATATAAATTTAAATATTAGATCTTAGAAGGATTTGGTTAGCATCTAAATTTATATTAAAGGTGGTAGCATATGACAACCCAATATATTCTTCAATAGAGCAATTTCATAAAGCATTAATTTCTGAATTATTTTAGTTTTTGGAGAAGAAAATACCCAAGTAGCCAAGCCAAGTTTGTGTCATGGTACCTTGATAACTGGTCTGAATATAAACTTATCTTCACAGATGGATTCAAAGATGAACAAGGTAATGTGGGCATTGGTATATATTGGTATATACCTTAATGAAAGCACCGAATTAACAGAAAGATTACCATCTGCTAATTCAATTTGTTCAGCAGAATAATTTGTGATAAAAAAGGCATTAGATTTAATTCAACAGAATGATTTTGAAAAAAGCCTTATTCGTAGTGATTCAAAAAGTACTCTGAAGAAAATTACAAGACCAAGTTATAAGGCTGCAGCAGACACACGAACTCTTCAATTAAAAAAAAAATTAAAACAAAAACTTAGTCAACAAAGATATATATGTCGCAAAAAACAATATCACTTTTAAACTTTTGACAATTGCCAAAATCTCATAAGACATAAAGAAAAAATCTGAAAACTAGATGATATGATAATAGAAGAAATAATAGAGCCAATTATAATTGAGATATACAAAGACATACACAACGAAATGGCTAAAGTATTCCCTTAATCAAAAATAATAGATAACCAGGCGAAATATCGATATTTGTGATTCTGGAAAATACTGTTCCAAGAACGGTTTAAATACAGCAACTAATGAGAAAAGTACAATATGACAAAAACATGATTTACCTTGTAGCAGTATCGGCAGACTTCCATACTTATTTTGACAGCTGTCACATTTACAATTGTAGTCATCCGTACAGGGTTCTATATCTAAACAAGGATCCAAAGGCTGAGGTATTTCTGGTAAAGGCTGAGGAGCAATCGAATACATGGGTTGAGCCTGATAGGGGTATTCGTAATATGGCTTTTGGAACTGCTCTTCAACAGTTACAGGTGGAAAAGTTGTCGCATAGTCCAAAGTTGAAGGGTTGAACGGTTCGTCTTCGTATTGTTGTTCTCTAGGCAACGGTGGAAAGCCTGGGTAATGCATGGTTGAAGGATATTCCTCGATGGTGGTTATTCCGTATAATAAATAGTACTGAGGGTATTTTATTTTTGTGTAACACTGTTGGCAAGCTTCTAGTGGCGCCGTGAGCAACAATACCTAAAAGTAATGGAGTTATTTTTAAAATATTTATAGAAATGATTATCAGACGTATTTAAAAATATTTTATGATTAACGTATACAGAATCTGCATTAGAAAGTCTTCAGTCTGCTGAACTTGGTGGTATATGATTGAAAATGGTGATACACATTGCCGAAAGAAATGAGCCGAACATTTAACACAAGAAACAAAAATTCTGAAGTACCTCAAAGATCTACATTATGAAAAAGATGAACCCCAAATAGAAGAATAGGAAATAGGCTGCAACAGTTGTTTACCATTTTTAAAGAACAGTAGAAATAATATATACATTTCAATTATGTTAAAGATCATTTTCCATTTAAAGATTTGTTATCTACAGAAATGTGGTACAACTAACGTCTAGAAGAGTTCCTAATCTGTTTAGAAATGTCATCTAGTAAAATAGTCTGTTTTTCAATATCTTTTGCTGATTAGCATGTCTGGAATTCTTTCAGTCTCTCACTTCCTCTCTTTGAGTAATGAATATATCAACAGTATCAATCCTCAACTCAATATCATCAATCGCTAATGTTAAAATCTTGAGAAAGATGGTAATAACCCTCAAAAAGAAGGAATCAGTATGAAAACTGTCATTTCAGAAAAAACTTGTGCAACAGATTAATCAAATTCGTAATGATCGACGCTCTTAAATCTTTTAAGAATTTTACCACCTATTTAGGTAGCATATCCTAGGTGAGAATTTGTAAAAAGACCTAGGTTTCGGAAGTAGTTACACTAGAATCTAATTTGACTATTTTTTGATAAAACTTGTGTATAAAACAAATACTAAAATTATACAAACTTGGTAGAAGATGTTTAAAATCCAAAATATTTGAGCGCACTTGAAACCTTGAGTTAAAACCACAAGAACTGAATCCAAACACAAACACTTTCGTATTACACCAAAATTGAAAAAATAAAAATAAAAAATTCGCGCACTTCACATACCATGAATATTAGTTGCATGTAAACTTACATATCTTTTATCGCTTTCTAGTAATTTAAGTGCTAGAACTCTTTCTTGTCCTGTTAGGCTTACTAGACCGACTGACTCATGTTTCAGACAAACACCACATTGATATACATCACTAAAACTCATGATAATTCTTCCCGATTCTGATAATTTGTTAAAATGAACCGTAAATGATTAAATGAACTTTCCAATTCTAAATCGTTGCCGGGCTGAGTCAGGCGCATGTCTTACATTTCGCACTCAATCACACGTAAAATCCTAAATCTCAACATTTAAACAGAAACAGACTATCAGTAAATCAATACGTCGAACGACGATGGGAGATTCCAGTTCAGGATTTTATAATCCACAGAGTACGCGTACTTGGGAATGACGTCATAGTTTGGGGAAATACTCTTACCGTATAGTGAGACGTAAGAGGTGAAGTTGATCGGGATCCCCGGTGTCCCTACCACTTGTAGCTGTAAGCACATGGTAGGCAATGTTGCCAGTTCTAAGAAATTTCTATGAACCAAATTTTTAAATAAAATATACTATGTAAATAGTTTACTATATAGATACTATATATAAAACTCTATTTATATGATTTATAATATACAAGGTACTCTAAGAAAGTTTAGAAAAGCTCTCTTCTACCACGTTTGTTCAATGGAAGCACGTTATTTGAAAAATTTTGATTCAACAAATTCAGAAGAAATTTACAGTAACATTGAGATATGATTCCATTTCTTTATATTTGCCCAGTCTTCACTCATTGTTCTTATTTTTTTTATCGACTTTCCTCTTTTTTGTCCAATTTAATTTATTGTATATATCCATTGTTTCATTGATCTGCCTTTTTTGTTTTCTTTGATCTTTTTGATGACCGTATCTCAGCCTAATTGTGTTATCTCTATTTTTTCTAATATCCTAGCGACCTGAGGGGTCACGGCTAACACGGTCACGGAATTTATGGTCGTCGTAAACGGTGTTTTTCTTAGAGGTATAGAACACTTTGAAATGGAATAAAGCAAAGACGATTTTTATAAATCGACATAAAATTAACTTTATTTGACTCTGATCTAGTGTAATCTGGAGGTCCAATATTCGATCACTTTTTCCAATATTTGTCGCCATATATCGGCAATAATGCGGCGAATGTTGCCCTTTAAGTGGTCAATCGTTTTATGCTTGGACTAGCACCTTCATATCTCCACATAAAATACTCTAGCAGTGTTAAATCGCACGATCTTGAAGGCTAATTCACGCTCAGAAACGTGAAACTATGCGGTTACCAAACGTTTACTTTAATAAACTAATTGTGGCAAGAACTGTGTGACATGTTGCGTCGTCTTATTGAAATGACAGCTCCTGCACATCATGTTTGTTCAATTGTGGAATGAAAAAGGCAGTACTCATGGCTTTATAGCGGCCACCATTGACTGTAACGTTCTGGCCAGTATCGTTTTTGAAGAAGTACGGTCCAATGATTTCACCAGACCACAAATTACACTTAAACAGTAAGGTTTTCTGGATATAACGGTTTCTCAACATACATTTGAGGATTATCTTAACTCCAAATAGGGCAGTTTTGTTTGTTGACGAAGCCATTCAACCAAAAATGAGCTTCATCGCAAACAAAATTGGCTTATGAAAATCGGAATCAACGGCAATCTCTTTTGGACTCACTTACCAAATCTACGAATCCGCCTTGCTAGTTGATGATCACCTTCAATGCTTGCGTGATTAAATGAGTTGTATTTTGTAAGCACGCAAAGCAAGATCTTTTTGCAAAATCTTCTATAAAGTGGATGGACACGTATACAACTGCTGTAAACGATGGCAGATAGACTTATTTGGACCTTCTTGTATGCTTCCCTCTACAGCAGCAACAAATTCTTCTGTACGCACTGTACGACGTGCCTGTGAATGCATAATTTCATTTAGAGTAAACGTGGTGCAAAAACGTTCCATGGTTAATCGAATTACTTGCTCTGATGGACCATATGTTGACCATAATATGGACGTAGTGCGCGAACCACAATTTTAAAAATAAATTTGTACAATTTGAAAGCGTTCTTCAGACATCAAGTCTATTCATGCTGAAATGTCAAACCGAACTTAACATAAATCACCTGACAGCTGTTACCTGTTGCCGACTTACATTTCTATACCTCGCGTGATCGCCATGTCTGCTCGAGGATGGGATGTAGAGAATTCGTGTACTGCACTTGTGACTGAGCAGTCCTATTAAGAGTTTACTCTACTCAATCTGAATGGGGATGGGACTATAAAAGATGTCCTAAATATAGACAGTCTAGCTATAGCTCCACTGGATAGCCGCGTCCACAGTTCACAGGTAACACCACTTTGCGACATGAAATATACATACCTCAATGCATACTGCCACAAATAACGAAGAACAGCATTAATAGCTCGTGAATTGAGAAAATTTAATATCGATATTACTGCTCTGGATAAAACCAGAAGATCAGAAGAAAGTCAACTTAAACAACATGGTGGTGGCTACACTTTCTTTTGGACGGGAAAATCAGAAAACGAAGCCCGTATCACACTTTTATCTTTCTTTTTGTATTGACTGCTTCCTAATATTTAGATATTAAAACGATTCACTTTTGCTGTCAACTAAACCTTTTCCCGCTTAGAGCGTTAAATATTAAATTTCAGTGTTTATTATCTTGTCTTGTATTCTTTTTCTTGTCTTGATAATATCTATTTCTTGTGAGTTATAAGGATTATGCAAATCAAAGTTCTCCCTAAGTCTATATTTTTCCATCCCTATTTTATTTAAGAATAGCGTTAGATTAGCTGTAATTTTTGTCTCCATTTCCATTTTTATTTTTGATTTATTTGTTTTTATTTACACAATCTGTTAATAAACTTCTGAAAAACTATTTTTGACTCTTTGCGGAGCTATTTCTTAACAGCAATCACCTCTGCATTCAAATTGAACCGACTATTTAAATCTGTTATTGACCAATGTCTTATTTTGGAACACATTTTCAATTTTTATTATTTCAATAACTGTAGCTTTTTTGTTAAAAATAGCCATAAGAATATTAAGAACATATCTCCCTCTTTATAATAATAATTAAGCGAGGCCAATAACAAAATGCTGTATTGGCGTCTTACCAAGTATCCTAATTAGTTGCAAAAAGTCGTAAGTCTCACACTATTGCTGAAAAAACTGAATTTCTGTCTGAACCCGATAGAAATAAAAACTGGATAATTGACTCTTTCAATACAAACATTTCATAGAATCTTCCTTACAAATTTTTGGATGAATATAAAAACAGTTTATAAAGAAATATCAGAAGAAGCATTGAAATATCTGCTGCTTTTCTCAGCCATATACCTCTATGAAAAGGGATTTTCTGCTCCTATATATTTAAAAAACAAATACTAAAACAAACTACAATTGGAATCCGATGCGACTTCTTCTTCTTTAAGAACCATCTCCGCGACGGAGGTTGGCAATTATCATGGCTATTCTGACCTTCGAGGCAGCTGCTCTGAATAACTGCTGCTAGCCTTGAACTGCAACCAAACCACTCTCTCAGGTTCTTCAACTAGGAAACGCGTCTTCTTCCTGCGCTTCTCCTACCCTCTATTTTTCCTTAAATTATAAGTCTCAAGATGTTGAATCTTTCGCCTCATTACATGTCCGAGATATTGCAATTTCCTTTATTTTATTGCATTTTCCAATTCCTTCTCTCTGTCTATTCTCCTTAACACTTGTGCATTCGTAACTCTATCTACCCATGGAATACTTAGCAATCTTCTAAATGTCCACATTTCAAAATCAGACTTTTTTAAATAAAAAAAAATTAGTAGTCAAAAAGCAGCACGAAATTTCATATTAATGCAATATTTTTAATTTTCGTAAAAATGTTTTTTTAGTTAGTACTTAAATAAATTGTTTTAAATTTATTCCTGTGCTCTTAATTAAGAGGGTCCTTAAAATTGTACTTGATTTCTAGGGGTTTACGGACTGAAAAAGATTAAGAAACGCTGCCATAGATAATGGTATCGTGAGATCTTTCAAACGAATAAAAAATTTCGCTGATATCTCACACATACTTTGTTAGTTAAATTCACAGATAACGAGCGCTTAATTATAGACCTTATATTTAAACGTTTATCATCCAGAATTAGATTATGCATCTTCTCTATACTTTGTCGGTGTTTCATAAGTAAATTTCAGTAAATTTAAATAAAATAATGGTCGAAGCAAACCGTCCAAAACGAATTATTTTCGGATGTATAGACCTAAATTTTTAATTGATTGATCTCACAAAATATGATACAGACTGCACGTACCAATACTTCATTAAAATCAAGGTATTACCCGAATTCCGATATTTGTGACGATGGTCACGTCGAAAACCTCTTTTCATCTCAAAAGTAATTATAAATATACTAAGGTTAAAGAGTTTGTTGAGAAACTATGTTTACGCAAATCTGTATTCTAGGAATTTTATATCAAAAACATATTTTACATATTACTATAAAATATATTGCGAAAAGAAAGTGAGTCAACCGCTCATCAAATAAAACAGGTAAATACCGTTGCGTGAAGTTTACATATTATAAATTGCTACAGGTGCTGAACAAATTTTAAAAATATTCAAAGAAAACAATTTTTTAAAAGGTAGAAACAATTTTTTATTGGTACTCCATTTTGCTTATTATTTAAAGTACGTCTTAGCGTGTTTAAATAAAAGTTTAAATTCAACTTTAAAAAAGCGGGTGTTTTAAAGTTACCATCGAAACATCAACAGTTTTAAAATACACTAAAGAAGATATTACTTGCTTTGAAAAAGTAGTGATAGGTTTCGTAGCCTTCTAAAATTATTTAAAACCAAGACAAAAACAAAAAAGTTTGCAAAAATTAAAAGAAATATGCTGCATGAAAATTACTTCGAATATCTGAAAGAAATTGATTAATTTTATTTTATGGGAAAGTAATAAGTACATATAGTTTTGTATATGATTTTTAGTTATTTTTAATCATTATCGCCATCTGGTAATGGTTTGCACCATATGCGAAGGGCTCAAAATCATTTTAATCGTCAGAAGAAACTGTCTCTGTAATAGATATTTGCGGTAAAGATGATGGACTTCTTAAACTTCATTCTCGTTCTGTGTAGCTCTTTCTTTTCTGGCAATGTAATCAGTAATTAAACTTTTATATACCTCACGATATCCTAA